AGCGCGAAATTTTCCGTCGGACCCGAGGATTTACAATTCAAATGGCCGACCCATATAATGTGTTGCGAATTCTGGGCTCGCCTCCAAAGTCACGGCCAATACGCCGGCTTCGAAGCGTGACTTGAAATAATGGCGCACAGCAGCGCCGCGTCGGAACGTTTACGTACTCCTATTCTCATTTCCAATTAGTATTGACGGGGAATTTTTAGCGGTGGCTAGTTACTCCTTGACGGAGAAGAGGACGTGGACCTTCAAATGGTCCATGGGCATTGAGTGCCCTCGCATACTAAAAACAAAAAAAATCCCTCAATCCATCCCGATTCATCCAAATAGGCCCGTTGCGAACTTTTCCCAAAGGAAAAAAATGAGTTATTACGAAAGGGAGATGGTTTTAAAATGAATCGAATTTTACAGAAACGTACCAAGTCACGCTTTCTAGGACTGTCCCCCTCATCCCCCCCCAAAAAAAAAATAAATCCACGTGGTCCTTCCCAAGAAATGTAAGGGATTTTGCTAAATTAGTGACTTATTTCCATCTTTGAAAAAGTTGAACTATTGTCGTTAGGAACCCTGGTAAAAATTGGCGATAGGAGCTGCATTTCAAAATACTATAAGAATTCTTATAGCCGGCTAAAGGAGGCGATAGAAAATCATATAGCTGACTGTAGAAAGCGGAGAAAATCATAGAGCCGGGCTATACGAAGCGATAAAAAATTATGAAGGCGGGCTATAGTTCCTATCGCCGGATTATACACCTTATCGTCATCTGCTATGGAAGGCTATAAAAAATTGTGTAGAAATTCGTGTGCTTTGAAAATAATTAAGTTTAATAAGGAACCACCTTAATATTTACAAAACACACATTATATTTTCCTTTAATACATATTTTTTTAATCAATTAAAATAAGAATAATCCATACAGAGCATACAAACATTTCAAAATCATGAGTTGAAAAACGCTGACTCCGCCAGATTAAATGTTAGAGCCTAACACAAAGCGGAGCGGCGACGTACTGGCGCATACAAACCTAACAGGGATACTTCACGCATTGCGCAACGCGTGAAGTATCCCTGTTAGGTTTGTAGGCGTCAATGCGCGTTCCGCGCTGGCTGCCCGCGTCCCGCGCCGCGCCGCGGCGTACCACGGCGCTTGAAGCAACTATTTCACACCAGAGGTATTGCACAGTAAACAAAACTGGAGGCGCTCCAACATATTAGGAATGGCAGGCATCCATCAAAAGTACGGAGCTTTCCTCACAAAATAAATCAAGATACTACGGCCCAAAAAGAGAGCGGCAGTCCAGAAACTCACTAAGTCCTAGCATCCGTAATTGGTAACATTTAGTATACACTTTATCGCCTGGCTGTTGCTTAATTGTCATCGGCTATAAAAGGCTATAAGAAATTGTGTATCCGGCTGTAGAAGCTATTGGAAATCTAACAGCCGGCTGTAGGTCTATGGTATTTTGGAACACAGATTCTACTGCCAATTTTTACCAGGGAACAGCTCAAAATTGGATCGTTTTTAGCAAAAAGGAACCAGCGCAATTACAGTGTTGTAAAAATGTTGCTTCTTCATAAATATCTGAAAAATCTCCTAGAACAGCAAATAGTTTTTGCTATCCACCAAATAATTGTTGATTTTAAAGAAAAACAATCGTGTAAATTTTAATACTGTACATATTTCAAGTATTTTTAAAAGCAAAGAAGAAGATGCACGATTTGAAAACACTGTACTCGCATTGGTTCCTTTTTGCTAAATACGATACAAGTGCCCTTGAGACGATAATAATTTGTCTAAATTTTCCTAAAAAGGTTCCCCGGGTCGCCCTTTGAGGCTACGGAACTCCCTCAAAGTTCTCTTTGGAGCTGGAGAAGTCTCACAGATTCCCTTTGGCGAGGTTTCCTCTTGGCCGCTCCCACAAGAAGTTCCTGATTCCGCTCACGCCGCGCCGGAGTGACTCGACCATATCAAACTATATCCAGACCGTTGTATACTTTTTGAAACTGACCGTTCGAAAATACTCAAATTATTTACACGAATTGTGAAATTGGGTGTGAATTTCAGATTTCCCTTTTTGGGAGTCATGGATCGACGAAGCTAACTAGGTAAACTACTATAGTTTTCTTCTACTAAAGTGGAGGTGAGGACGTAGCTACTGTGAAGAATTTTCAATTTCATTATTTTCTCGAAGTCATTTAAAGATTTTATGAGAATCAGTGGATGATTATCCTAGAATACCAAGTAAAGAGCAACCGAGAAATTCTCTGTTACCGACTAATATAGAAAACCACTCAGAATTGTATCGCTTATTTAACGCTCAGCTGGATGTTGAAGTCAGCCGTGTTTCTTTGATATTTTTCCTTACTTCCCTCACCTTCAACACTAGAATGGAAACGAAAAGTATAAATGATGAAAAGCACTTACTTTTGTTATTATTGATGGGACGGGCACTCACTTGATCATCAGGATGAACACGAGAAAGTTAGAGTCGGGAGCGATAATGTTTCCGATACTAATAGCACATTTTTCCGTATGTTGGTGTGCGCACCAACCAAGTTAAGTTCCCTAAACCTATCTCTGTATGAACAAGGCCCTCCATTTATAAGAAATGAATCAAAAAATTATGAAATAACAAACATAAATGTGGTTTAATAATTTTAACTTATTCCGCCGCCGCGCCGCGCTAACCGCACTGTGTTTGACGCAATGCGTGAAGTATTCATGCAGTCTTGCAGGCGCTATGCGTTTCACGCTGCCCGCTGCTGACCGCAGCGACCGCACTGCCTTTGGCGCAATGCGTGAAGTATTCATGCAGTCTTGTAGGCGCTAATATGTGTTACATGCCGACCGCCGCGCCGAGGGTTTCTCCTTTTCATCTCACGTTCTCGTCATCATTGCTCTCTGCGCCGCGCCGTTCCAAGCCAAATTCCATGTTCGGTTTCTCTCTTAGTCTTAACTCGACTTAATAAAGGTGCTGTCTATTGTATCACAGAGGGACGACAAAATTAGAGATATACTCTTAGGAAATGAGAGATTTTGTCACCTTTCCTCGTTCGTAATTTTTTTTTTTTTTATGAATCTGATTTTTCTTTATAGCTACATTTAAAAAAATTGCAAAATTTGCCGCCCCCTAAATTTGCCGCCATGGGCCGCGGCCCATGTGGCCACCCCCTTAATCCGGCCCTGGACAAACCTAAATTTTTATCGTTACCTTCCGGCCGAAGTATCACAAGCGCCATGCGACGTTTCAAAATTTCCGCCGCCATTTTATTTGTTTACAAAGAAATTAATCTGTTTGACAATTTCGCTGAATTTTATCGGAAGCACAAAGAAAATTCAGTGAAATTTTCGGACAGCTTTATTCAACAATTTCTCTGTAAAAAAACATAATGGTGACGGAAATTTTGAAACTTCGCATGGCGCTTGTGATACTTCGGCCGCAAGATGAAGGTATCTCACTGCCCTCAATAATTTTATTGCTTCATTGTGTTATGGTAAAAAAAATCTCAAAAATAACAAAACTTTTACTAGCCGTGTCATGCTGGTACAAAGATTTCTAATTGATTAAAAAACAGGTGCGTAAGTACCTAATATTTACGTATTGGGGTCATTACACGAAGAAATTAATGCATTTTTTATGGTGTCAAGCTAGAGAAATCAGTATTGTATTCAAATAGAAATAAAGTAGAGATAACTTCAGCTGCGAGCGCGTCTCTTTGGTTTATCTATCCAATTTTACGGTATCATAGAAGTATATAAACAATGTATGGACCCGCATTGAAACCGGCGTTCCAAATTTTTTCGCGACCTTCACGATTTTCACCAAAACAGAGTCAACGTTTGACCAACGCATTAGTCACACCGATCGATTCCTCGCACACTTCTCTGAATCAGCGATGAACACTGTAAAGCTGCGCCAAAGTTGTTCGTAGTTAAAACAGGAGAGAGGGCATCTGAACCATAATAATCAACCATCCCTCTCTCTTTTTTCAGATTTCTCAAATATAATTAGGAGTAATTGGATTGCATTTTTCAAGAAGGAACCAAGAGTATTCCAATGTTGCCAGGATTGTGCAACTTACATTCTTGGCAATAATATTACTGAAATCATGCAAAAAAATTAAATTTGAAAAGATAATTTTCGTCTTTAATTGATATTTTACTGGGAGTAAAGATGAAAATTGTTCAGATTATCAGTTGGATTGCATTTTGCAAGAAGGAGCCAAGAGCATTTTAATGCTGCTAGGATTGTGCAACTTACATTGTTCGCTATATATTCACTAAAATGATGCAAAAAATCAAATTTAAAAACATAATTTTCAACTTGAATTTATAGTTTATCGAGAGTCAGAATAAAACTTGTATCGATGATCAGTTTATATTTGCAAGGTAAAAAATGTTGCACAATTTTAGAGACATTGAAATCCTCCTGCTAGTTCCTTTTTGCAAAATACAATCTATTTTTTTTTTAAAGTTTGAAAATATTTCACAATTTCAGTGACATTGAAATGTTCTTGGTTCCTTTTCGCAAAATGCAATCCAATTGCACGACTCCTTTGTATTCCCATCCAGGGAGCTTCATTTGCTGGAATAGCAAATGGAATCGAAAAATTCTTGATTTTAATGCTTGTTTTATTTAACTATCAATAAATGTTTGCTGACGTGTTTTAGGTTTTATTAAATATCGCGTTTGACCTAGTAGCTATTGGAGATGCGAGTTGAGGCCTGTCCTTTCGTTCATAACTTTGAATGAAGTAAAAGAAAACAGAAAAAAAACTGGTTGATAGATTTTTTACAGAAGGTTCTGTTTAAAAAAGGAGGGAAAAAATCAAATTGAAAGTTGTATGTTTTTCAATTGAATGAGATCACTCTCCTGATGTTTTTTCGTCGTAAAAGCACATACACGCATAGACACGCACCATGCACGCGCCTATGAATATTCGCAGGTCAAAAAATGCTAAAAATTTCACCAGCCTACGTCGTTGCTTGATTTCAGATACGGGCGGAAGAAAATATTTTACATATCAGCCATTGGTCAGCTAGCAGCTGGAGTTTCCGTGGCCTTCGTGAAGAATTACGTGACATTCGTGACGCTAACGTATATTTACGGTATATTTGGATCCGCCGGTGCTTTCATTACCGGCTACGTTCTTGGTAAGTCCCGCGCATGCTCATTTGTCCATAGGAATGCCTTTAGAAGATCTCTGTTCATGTGTATACTCCTTTTTCCTAGTCTAGTCTTTCGTCTAAATGTTAGTATCGCAATTAGTATACGAATCTATCCGCCCAGCAAGAAATTTCCGCCGCTTAGGAAACAAGACTTATAGGCTGATTTAAGCGAGACGTCACAAGGTGAAATATTGTTGACAATATACATATGTATAGCAACCAGTGGCGTGGCGTGCTTTGCGATATATCGATTGTTATGCCATTTAAACCTATGGAAAAGGATCGATAAACAGGGTGTTCGCATCGAACACCTTAATAATCGATTCTTTACCATAGGTTTAAATGGCATAACAATCGATATATCGCAATTCACGCCACGCCACTGGTTGCTATACATATGTATATTGTCAACAATATTTCACCTTGTGACGTCTCGCTTAAATCAGCCTATAAGTCTTGTTTCCTAAGCGGCGGAAATTTCTTGCTGGGCGGATAGATTCGTATACTAATTGCGATACTAACATTTAGACGAAAGACTAGACTAGGAAAAAGGAGTATACACATGAACAGAGATCTTCTAAAGGCATTCCTATGGACAAATGAGCATGCGCGGGACTTACCAAGAACGTAGCCGGTAATGAAAGCACCGGCGGATCCAAATATACCGTAAATATACGTTAGCGTCACGAATGTCACGTAATTCTTCACGAAGGCCACGGAAACTCCAGCTGCTAGCTGACCAATGGCTGATATGTAAAATATTTTCTTCCGCCCGTATCTGAAATCAAGCAACGACGTAGGCTGGTGAAATTTTTAGCATTTTTTGACCTGCGAATATTCATAGGCGCGTGCATGGTGCGTGTCTATGCGTGTATGTGCTTTTACGACGAAAAAACATCAGGAGAGTGATCTCATTCAATTGAAAAACATACAACTTTCAATTTGATTTTTTCCCTCCTTTTTTAAACAGAACCTTCTGTAAAAAATCTATCAACCAGTTTTTTTTCTGTTTTCTTTTACTTCATTCAAAGTTATGAACGAAAGGACAGGCCTCAACTCGCATCTCCAATAGCTACTAGGTCAAACGCGATATTTAATAAAACCTAAAACACGTCAGCAAACATTTATTGATAGTTAAATAAAACAAGCATTAAAATCAAGAATTTTTCGATTCCATTTGCTATTCCAGCAAATGAAGCTCCCTGGATGGGAATACAAAGGAGTCGTGCAATTGGATTGCATTTTGCGAAAAGGAACCAAGAACATTTCAATGTCACTGAAATTGTGAAATATTTTCAAACTTTAAAAAAAAAATAGATTGTATTTTGCAAAAAGGAAC